GGAAGACAAACTGAAAGAATGGGAAAACTATATTAAAATTCTTTTTCACGACATACGAGAAGAACCAAGATTGGAAAATAACAACGAAGGGCCAACAATTCTGAAATCTGAAATCATAAATGCAATTAATCATCTCAAAACAAATAAAAGCCCAGGTCCAGACGGAATATACCCCGAAACGTTCAAATTAATCAGCGAAGAAAATATCGAATTATTTGTCCTTTTATTCAATCGCATTTATGATACAGGTAAAATACCCCAAGATTGGCTGGAGTCAATATTCATCCCACTACCAAAAAAGCCAAACCCACAACACTGCAATGAGTTCCGTCTGATAAGCCTTATGAGTCATGCAGTAAAAGTCCTACTAAAAATCGTACATAATCGTATCTATAGAAAGTGCGAAACAATCATCGGAGACGATCAGTTTGGATTTAGAGCCGGCATGGGAACGAGAGAAGCCCTGTTCAGTTTACTAGTTGTCGCCCAAAAATGCTACGACCAACAGAAAGATATATTTATATGCTTTATAGACTTCGAAAAAGCATTTGATAGAGTAAGACACGACCTACTATTAGAACGTTTGCAAGAAGTCGGTTTAGATGGAAAAGACATCAAACTCTTAAAAAACTTGTACTGGAACCAAAAAGCCAGAGTTAGGATCGAAGGTTCCACATCCGCAGAAGTAGAAATTAGGAGGGGAGTTAGACAGGGATGTGTTCTGTCGCCTCTGCTGTTTAATCTTTACTCCGAGTTTCTATTTAAAGAAGCATTGGAAGATTCCAAGGATGGAGTCAAGGTGAATGGCGTAAATATCAACAGTATCAGATACGCCGATGATACAGTGTTAATTGCGGATTCCGCCTCAGGTCTACAACGACTCATCGACAAGACCAACTCGACCTGTGAGCAATTTGGTATGAAAATAAACATTAAAAAAACCAAAGTGATGTCAATCCGAAAAAACCAAAACGTACCTCAACCTTGCACAATAAATGGGCACATCTTAGAAGAAGTCAATAGATTTAAGTACCTGGGATGTTGGATCGATAGCAGCCTAAATCCTGATCAAGAAATAAGGTCGAGAATAGAACAGGCTAGAAAATCTTTCGAAAAAATAAAAAAAACTGCTTTGTGATTCTCGAATAAAACTCGAAATTCGACTACGTTTATCAAAATGCTACGTTTGGTCGACTCTTCTATATGCAGTGGAAACGTGGACCCTTAAAACATCAACCGTAAATAAATTGGAGGCCTTTGAAATGGACAATCGCATACCTCATGGACATCGCATACCTCAAACGAAGAAGTGCTGCATAGAATAGGCAAGGAAAGAGAACTTTTTAACACAGTAAAAGTTAGAAAAACATCATACCTAGGCCACATACTGAGAAATAATAAGTACCAATATGCCCAACTTATAGTGAAAGAAAAAATCGAGGGAAAGAGAGGCCTAGGAAGGAAAAGACTGTCATGGCTCAGAAACATCCGACAATGGACAGGGCTAAATTTTGAACAGCTAATAAGAACAGCTGAAGATAGAGAAGAGTTTAAAATTGTAGTAGCCAACCTCCATTGAGGAGAGGGTACTTTATGAAGAAGAAGAACTGTTATGCAAAAACGGTTCATTTTTAGTTTATTCCTACAATCTTTCAAAATGGGCACAACTATAGAATATTTATATTCTTTTTTTTTTAGATTTTATTTGAAAAAAAAAATTCAAATAGATCAGCATGTCAGAACCGTAAAACATTTAGCTAAAAAAGTAAAAACCACATCCGGTGAAAAATATCAACCTTTAATGTCCAAGTGCGTTCAGTCAAGTTCCAAAAAACAAACAGAACAACAAACTTTTAACGAAGACTTGTGTCGTGCATAAGTATCTTTTAATATACTGCTTTCAAAATTATCTAGTGAAAGTTCTTTATTAAAAAAATATTGCAACAAAACATTTCCAGTGAACGAACTCTAAAGAGAAATAATGTCAATTTGTTATACTCCTCAGTTATCTACAACATAAAAGCCCAAAATAGGTAATAATTACCTTTACATATGTGTGGATGAGACCACTAACTCGCCAGGAAGTCATATTGTACACTTATTGATTGATGTACTAAGCGATGAAACCTTTACAAAATCGTATTTAATTTCCTGCAAGCAAGTGGAAAAAACCAACGCTTTAACAATATCACGGTTTCTACAAGAAGCATTAGCAAACTTTTTTCTTCCTGCTGCTATGCCTATTGATAAATTATTGCTTATTTTATACGATGCCGCACCATATATGATGAAAGCAGGACAAAATTTAAAAATATTTTATCCAAACTTAATACATGTCACTTGTTTAGCAAATTATCATTGTTAGAGAGTACAGTTTTAATAAAAATTTTGAGTTATTGTGTCAAAATGTTAAAGGTACTATTGGAAAGGAAATTTTTCAAAAATTTAAAGTAACAATGGAAAAAATAGTGGTTACCGGGTTCTTTCTGAAGTACTTCAAGTACTAGCTGGGACATTTTCCGAACCACTTAATTTAGAACCATCTATTATAGTAAATTTGAAAAGTGTTCCAGTTACATCAGTTAGTTTCGAAAGAAGTTTTTCTATTTACAAATATATGTATGGCAAGCAACCTGGGATGCATCAGACTCTAAGTTGAAAACAATAAAGCCTCGAGTAGATGCCAGCCTATCACAACAAGGACAAAGAAGAGATCAAGTAATCGTAAATCGTCTTCGAATCGGCCACACAATACTAACACACCAACGCCTTCTAAATAAAGAAGCAGCTCCGATTTGTACCTTCTGATATACTCAACTCACCGTGAAGCATATGATAGTCGACTGTCCGCAGTTTCAACCCCAGAGAACGTGCCGAGGAATTACTGGAAACCTGAGAAGTGCGCTTACGACAAATATCTCAGACTTATTGCAGGTTCTAAAAGACATTTATTATAATAAATTTTAATTTATCAAACTGTACTACTGTGTATGTCACCCCACTAATAACCCTTGGTGGTTGATATGGGTTCTATATGTTTAAATGAAAAAAAAATATGTATTCAGATAGAAGCTATAAGTTTTTACTAGAAAATTTTGAACATCATTTGATAATCTATTGTTACCACAATTCAAAATAATATTTATATGTTAAAGTAATTGTACATGTTATGTATTTATAACATTGTAAGTATTTTTGTTAATAAAAAAAACATATTGTAAACATTTTTTATTACATGCATATTTTCTAGATAAATATGCACATTTTGCATAGAATACTGCATATTTGTGCGCATATTTAATACTTTTCTATTTTCATATTTGCCTAAGTCTATTAATAACATTTGCATCCATCTTTACTTTATTTGTTAAATTTACATATATGTCATAGAGTCTGTAACGGAAATATTTTGCCTACCAAAGGGTTCATTAATACAGGGGGTAGAAAATTGAGGGAAGAAACTATTGGGGGTGGAGATAAGGCAAGCAAAATAATCGCTACTTGTGCGAACGGCACTCAGGGTTTGGTAGGAGAGCTGGGGTCGTGGATAAGTAAAAGATAAGGGGGATTGATTGGGGCAATACAAAAGATGAAATAAAGGGGTCATTAATCTCTTGGGATAAACAAAATAAAAATAAACAGGAAACACCTCAAGGAATTTAATATAGGGCGCCACTTTAGGTGCCTAATTATACCTATTACAACCACTAGTTGTAACTAGGGAAATAATTATAAAACATCAAAAAAATATCTTTTTCAAATAAAAATCAAAAAAGGGTTAGTTCAAAAAAATAAATAAAATGTTAAGAAAACAAAATTTAACATTTATTTTTGTGTCACCACAAACAGTTACAACATGAAGAAATACAAGAATACAAAAAACTTACGTGTGTCATCCGCTTACAAACTCCAGCAGTTGGAGATACTACATAAAACTTACAAATGTTACCGCATTACAATTTTTAAATGTTACAATTTCTAAATTTTAACGAAAGCAATTATTGTTCTAAAAAAATATCTGTCTTTACTTTGAAATTAAACAAACAATAAACAGTAAACTGGATTCACATATTTCCACTTAACAAAAAAAAATAACTTGTTACATCTCTGGAGTATCTATCCGGACATCATCAGCGAAGAGCTTTATCCATTGGGGGCTGGAACTAGTACACTTGTAAAAACGGGAACTCTCAAAAAAAACAGGAACTAAACTTTTCAACTTTTCAACAGGAACTAGACTTTTCAAACATCTTAAAATCTTCAAAAAAACGAAACAGTGGTCACTCTTTCTAAAATGACATTTACATCGAGCGAAAACTCCACCAATTTTGGCAAATTAATACCGGTCACTTCATAATAGATAAAAATCCACCACTACTGCTACTTATTTCCACAAAAGGAGCCAAAAATAGAAAACCACAAATTCGACGACGAATTCGGATCCATACCTGAGCCTAACGAACTGCTCGGGGACCCAAGCATGAATTGAGATCCATACCTAACACTACGACGACCCAAGTATGAATCAAGATCCATACCTTACACTACGATGACCCAAGTATGAATGACGAAATTCAGAATTCGTTCATATAAATTGAAAACAAAACAAAAACTGACATAACAAAACACAACGAAATTAAAACGTAAACGATTCCACTTTTACAACATATAAAAATTATAATGCGACTTCGAATAAAACATTAAAAGAAATTGCCGAAAAGTTAAAATAATAAACAACTATAAAATGGTTTATTTTAACGTCTAGCAATGCAAATACAATTACTAAAAACACTTTTGCGTATTATAACTTGAAAGATACGAATTAACAAACATGGAAAAAATTCTTCGTTTTATTTTTTAAACATATATAAGGCGATTTTAATATATTACATATACGAGGAGATTTCAATATACTTCAAAGAATCAACGAAATTGAAAATGCTACAAGTCTATAATAAAAGAGATTTTAAATAACAAAAATTATTCTAAAGTGTACTTACCACCGTAATGGACTGTAGTGAAAAAAGACTTGTTCCAAAATACAGAGCATAATCTCCTGCTTTTCCAAAAGCTGGGCGGCTTGAAAATGGTGGTAAATCTTGAAACATATAGTAGCCACAAACGCCAATTGTCAATAATGTTATTAGATTTGCCACAATAGAGAAGGGTGCAAAATGTTTTAGGTTCCTAACCATTATTATCAATAAAAACGGTACAGTAAACATTAAGATGTAATAAGTTAAAGCAATTGGAGGATTGGTGTATTCGTCACCTACATATTTGATGTTTACTGCTACGAAGACCACATATACACAACAGGTGCCAACTTGAAACGTAACCAGGAAGAAATTTGTGATTGCCCTGAAATAAAAAAGTTACACTTTTATATTGTCTCAACTGTACATTGTCTTAAAAAAATGTATAGGAATCGATAAATATTAGATACGATCCTACTAATGACACTTTGGGTATACAAAATATTCTAGTTACTTAATCAGTAGACCCATTTGTACCTTTCGGTGTTGGGCCGTTTATAATACAATTCTTTATATTACAATATTTTACAATCTTCTGAGGTGTCCTAGCTCTTGACAAACTTTCTCCATTCCTTCCTATTGTATGCCATCTGTGTTGCTTCCTGCCAAGTCTTACTCTTACTCTGCAGTATCTGCGGGATGTCACTGTTCCATCCTTTAATGGGTCTTCCTCTTCTGTTCTTCCCTATTGGTTTGGTGTCCTACACTCTTTTTACTTGTCTATTATTGTCCACTCACGTTAGATGTCCCGAATCATGCCAATTTTTTCTCCTTGCCTTTTGTTTAATATCCAATCTTCTGCTCCATATCTCACTGTAGGTCTATATATTGTTTTTGTATAATGTCATCTTGGTCTTTGTTGATATTTCTTTGTTATTAAGGAATCCCCTATTTAGTGCTTGGAATAGTTTTCCTGTATTTTACATTCTGTTATTAAGATCATCCTCGATGTCTCCTTTCTTGTTGATTATTGTTCCTAAGTATTTGTATGAATTTTTATTATTTTTTGTTAGTTTATCATTACTTCTATTTGATCTTCCGTCCCTTGTTTTCTTAATATTTTCATTATCTGAGTTTTCTCTTTGTTTACGTTTAAGTTGTATTCGCTTGCTCCTAGGTTCCATTTCTCTTAGTTGTATTTCAGTTTTTCTGCTATTTTCGCAATTAATACTATGTCGTCTACAAATACACACATCTCAGCGTTTATTATTTGCATTTTGTTCCAACCGATGCAGTATTTCTTGAACGTTCTCTTACATAACTTCACTATCTCATCTATTACATTTATGAATAGCACTGGGCTTAGACTTCTCCCTTGTCTAACTCCTTGAGTTGTTTTAAATGGTTCTGACTGTATATTTAACATTCTTACTGTATTTTTTTGTTTTCATGTATTATATCTTTGTTGCTTTTATCAGTTTTTCACTTACTTGCTTCTTCTTTAGGCTTTTCCATATATCTTTTTATTTGACTGAATGCTTTTGCTACGTCTATAAAGCTCAAATATATTTTTCTATTTTTCTGTAAGGCTTTTTCTATTAATTTTTGCATGGTGAATATATATGTGTGTTGTGTCCTTTCCTGAATGCACTTTGTACGTCCTCTAACTCATGTTAGAGGACGTACAAAGAGGACGTTGTTTTCTAATTTTCCTTTCTATTATGGTTTCGTATACTTTTGCTGCTACACATAGTAGTGATATACCTCTATAGTTCATACAGTCTCTTGTGTTTCCTTTCTTGTATATAGGTATAATTACTGCATTTGTCCATTCTCTGGGTATTACTTTTCTCTTCCATAGTAGGTTAAATATGTTTAACAATTTTTCTTTTGCTTTTACTCCTATATATTTCATCATTTCTGGTGCTACTTTATCGCTTCTTAGTGCTTTTCCAATCTTTATCTTTCTTATTGCGTCTTCCAGTTCTTCTTTTTCTATAGTTTTTATATTTTACGTATTTCTCATGGATACTCTCTTGATGTGGCTGTTCTTCTCCATTGTATTCGCTTGATTTCCATTCAGTATCAGCTGGAAATGTTCCCTCTATCTTTCTATTATTGTCTTATCGTCATTTATTATTGTTTCTTCTTTGTTCATTATTTGTTTCAGTTTCATTTCTTTGTTACTTCTTAGGTTTTTCAGTGTTCTATAAAATAATTTTACGTTTTCTGTGCTGTTTTCTTCCATTTTTTCTCCGAATTTTTCCCAACTTTTCTTTTTCTCTTTCTTAACTATCTCTTTAGCTTTTGTTCTTTGTCTCTTATAATTGTTTTATTTTGGTTGTGTTTTGTCTTGTATGTATTCTTTTCATAATTTCTTCTTTTCTTTTATTTCTCTTTTCACTTCATCGTTCCACCAAGATGTACGTTTCCCTCTGTTATTTCTTATAGTTCCACATATTGATTTAGCTGTTTTTATCATTGCATTTTAAAATTTTTTCCATTCTACTGTTTCTGTTATTTCATAGTTATTTCCTTAGTTTATGAATTTTTATTATTTCTATGTGTTTTCTGTTTATGTCCTCACTTTATTTCTTTTCTTTTGCTTTTGAATGTGGTTTCTACTAGATAGTGGTCACTACCAATTTCATAACTCCTTTTTACCCTTACGTCTCCTATCCAGTTTATCTGATTTTTTTGCACTATAGTATAGTCTATAATTGATTGTTCGTCTCTTGATTTGACTTCTCTTGTGATCTTGTGTATCCTTTTATGTTGTAAGTGTGTATTCATAATCACCAGGTTATTGTCTAGACAGAACTCGAGTAGTAATTTTTTATTTTTGTTTATTTTTTCCTCCCCATAAGATCCGATGACATTGTTCCATTTTCTGCTTTTTTATCCACTCTACTGTTTATGTCTCCTGTGATCACAATTTTCTCTACAATTATTTATCACTTCTTGTAATTTGTTCCAGAACTCATTATTTTCGTTTTTTGTTGCGTCTTTATCTGGTCCATAGCATAGGATTAGGTTTGTATTGGTTTCCTCTGTATCCATATCTATGTATACTCTTAGTATACGTCCGTTGTAATATATCCAATTTTTTACTTTGTTGATACTGTCCTTCTGTATCATGCACGCTACTCCTGCCTCAGCTCTCTTCGTCTCTTCCACTCCACTGTATATTAGTAACATTTCGTTTTCTAATATTATTGATCCTCTTATTGACAAAATATTTTAAAAATATCAAAACATAACAAAAATAAGGAAAAAATTTCTATTAAAACTCAATAGTCTTCAAGTATTTCTGAATGAACATAAATCAACAAATCTACTTCTTAGATTAAAATGCTGTGTTTGCAATGAACATTTATTCAACTTTTGCAAGTGTTGTATGTTATTTTAAATGATAAAAGATTAATCAATAATCTTTACTGGAGTCAGATGTGCTAAAGATGAAGAAAAATCCTCGAAGCTAATTTAGTTTATATTTAAAAAAATAATCAAAATATTTACATAATGTTCACAAATTAACAATTTATACAAATTAAATATTGGTGAATTTATTAATTATTTATCTTAAACTCATGTTACAGCAAAATCTGAATTAGAGGATCATCCACTGATAATTCGCAAGGAATATATATATATATATATATATATATATATATATATATATATATATATATATATAATATATATATATATATTGTACTTCTACTACTATATATATATATAATATATATATATATATATATATATATATATATATATATATATATATATATAGTAGTAGAAGTACAACGTTTGGATCACTATAGAGATAGGGAAATCAATGTGTTAGAGAGAGAAGTATTTCTTATAGAGAAATTAAAAATTTTAAACAAAGGAATCTACATTACCGACTGTCATAGTTCAGCTATCCGCTAGTTGGCGCCGCCAATTTTAAACATTCGTCATTTTTAGTCCAGTTAACATGTGATAGACGAATAGAAACTATTCTTCTTCTTTTTCCGTAGAGTCATGGACAATAAAGATTGTAGGTATGTAGTGCCTAAACGGCTTAACGTATAGAGATATGCAAGGTATTATGCCATAAAGGCATTAGATAAAAATGATTGGATTTATCCAATACAGGTGATTTTTACGTAATTCAATATATCATTATGCCATAAAGGCATTATATTTTTGATAAAATAGACGTATTTTAACTGGTTATTAATAACAAAGAATTAAACTCTCAAAGCTGTCTCAATAGACCAGAATGTATAGTAAAATTAAATAGCATGCCATAAAGACATTAGATATGTATCTTCACGCCTATTAGCCCAGTCGTAACGTATAAGGGGTAATTGGAAAGGAAAGAAGACGATAGGTGCAAATCTATAGAAAAATTATACGTGAAGATGAATTATAAAGGTCTTAGGTATGTGATCCTAGACGACTTAACGTACAAGGATGTGCGAGATATCATATGATAGACGTATAAAATTTAATGGTATAGAAAGATTAAACATATCTTTGTGCCATAAAGGCATTAGATTTTTGACAAAATAGACATATTTTAACTGGTTATTAATAACAAAGAATTAAACTCTCAAAGCTGTCTCAATAGACTAGAATGTGTAGTGAAATTAAATACCATACCATAAAGACATTAGATATGTAACTTCACGTCTAATAACCCAGTCGTAACGTATGAGGGATAATTGGAAAGGAAAGAAGGCGAAAGGTACAATTAGAAAAAATTAAACACAACACGTCATAAAAACATTAGATATATAAGTAATAGAATAAAAAATAATAATACATTTTTTGTACATATACACATATCTTATATCTATTTTCAATTCTTGAAGGAAGTATTCTTGTAGTTCCCTACACCAATACATCTGCCCTCCTTCTCTCCGAATATGGACTTCTGGAGCATCCAAAAGGTAATTTCCTGTAATGTGATGTTCCCTACATACAGTTTCATCACCGGCTAGGGTGTAAATGTATACGGACGATGTATATCGCTGAACGTATGATACATATTCGAGCCCCGCAAAGTACCGGCATGCTAAAATAACCTGTTGCTTGGTATGTATCAATACAGGATTGATGATTCCCATTCTGAAAATTTTTAGAACAAGTCTGTAAATAAAGTAAATTCAAAAATCACATCATATTATCTACAAAACAGAATTTTTTCCCAAGATTGAAAATAATCGCAAGAATACCAGAATTTAACAATACATATTAAGAAACTCATAACAAAACATAAACAAAAATTTTTAAATCAAAAGTCTTTTAGTTTAGAAAAATTCTACTGAAAAAAATTACATAATACGCAAGTTACGAATATAATAAAAAACGAGATATTGGACTAAGATGTATGAA